GCCTCTTTCAGCTCAGCCTGGGCTGAGTTGGTCCTTAAACTCTTGGTCCCCCAGTGACACTCCTTACCTCATCCTTAGACACAACATTTTTGTTTGGTTTTCTTAAAAAAATAACAAATTTTATGAAGGTAGAGATCAAATGCTGAATGAGCGCCTGGCAGAAGTGGAATCTGAGCTGCGCATGGGCAGGTTGCTGCCACTGGACCAACCCAAGGTTGTGAGCCAGGGTTGGCCTGGGGGGGCCCACACCCTGCAGTCCTGGTGCTGCTCACACCAGCGAGGCTTCCCCATCCGGTCATAGCTCCGTGATCTCTAGGGGGCTCTCCATGATCACATCTCGAAGCTTGTGCAGAGGCGTGGATTTGGCGGACTCGGTGCGGGCGTTGCGCTCAAAGGCACTGGCTTCAGCAGCTGTCAATGTCTCCAGCGAGCGGCCCAGACCCTTCTGGTCATCTTCGGGCAGGCTGTTGAGGTCAGTGGCCAGGAGTGTGCCCGTGCTGCCATGCACCATGTGGATTCCATCGGGCCCCTTGAGCTCCGGAGGCGGCTTGCAGAAGCGCAGGCTGCCCTGGCCCGGGCTACACTCCCCTGGCTCCTCCAGCTCCGTCTGGATCAACTGCAAAAGTCCAGGATCCCCCACAAGCTCAGGACCATGCCCAAGGGGTGAGCAGGTAGGTGGATGGCCCCAGAGTCCTACCTGCCACGTGCCTGTTTCCTCCCCGCTGCACACAGGCAACCCTGGGCTCGTGGCAGTGGCCCTGTGCAGCCTCTGACAGCTTCTCAAGCTGGGTACAAAGGGGAACCGTGGATAGTGCTACAGATGTGCTCGGGGATATGGGCTTCCTACGAGTCTTGAATTCTGTGTATTCACTGTGCTGTATAAAATCCTGTGATGCAACTGTAGTATCTGGGTTTGTTACCAAGTTGGCCTCAAGCAAGGTCAACGTTAGTGGCCAGGTGGAAAGTATCCACCAGTGAAATTGGAGGGGACTAATGGAGCTTTTGTTGTGTGTGGAACTCAGCTTTAGCCCAATGGTGGCCCAGCTGGGTTTTTAAATTAAGGTCTGATTTTAAAGTATTGATATATCACCACAGGCAAACATGTAGACCTATTTCAGCCTACAGCCAGTTTCTTTAAATGACTTCACCCCTTCAAGTTATCTTCTTGGGGTTCCTCAAATCTGAGAAACACTTCCTTGTGCCTCCTCCATCCCTGGAAAGCCCACTGCAGGACCCAGAAAGCAGAGCCCACTGACTTCCTGTACCTCCACCCATTGCTCTCTTTGGTCCTGGATGCTGAACTCCAGTGACTGAAGGATGAGGGTAGCAGGAGAGCCAGAGAGAGAGAAAGCACCCCCAGGGCTGGGGCACGGCACACAGCTCCCCTGCCTTCCCGGCTACCTCGGAGATGGAGGAGTGGCAGGAGGAGGCTTTTTGCACCATCCGCTGTGCAAAGAGCTTTTTGAGCCGCAGGTAATCCTCCAGGACCACCTTCAGCAGCGAGCCCTGGGGGAGGGAGAGGGTTAACCCCCCACCATGGCCCTTCCCAGCCCCCCTACCCCTCGTTCACTCCCATTAACTCTAATAGAAGGTGACTGGGTGTCTAGGAGGCACAGGCCTCTAATTCTATTGTAGGGGATCAGGAGCAGAGCCTGGGGACAGTTCATGGTGGCGCCCTGGTCCTAAGGGCACCACAGGCTGAAGCAGCTCCTGATCACCCCCAGTGCCCAGGACCCTGTCTTTGCCCTGGTGGTCTTGCCCCAGTAGAGGGCAGGTCTAGCTGAGCCTGGAGGTGGTGAAAGCTGTTACCACCTCCCTGCATCCTCTGGAGCAGGTCCACCCTTAGCCAAGGGTCTAGGGGCAGGGGTGCAGGAGTCTGTAGGGAGGGCTCACCTTGATGGGCCCCTCCCGAATGATCTGGCCCAGCTTGGCAATGTTGTCATACTCCTGGATGGCTGCCCGCAAGTACCGGTCTTCGTCGGGTTTCACTGCTGCTGGTTCACGTCCAAAAGTTCCCTGGGGAGAAAGGATGTTAGCTGGGCCAGAGGTAGGGCACAGGCACACATGTACAGGGTAAGGGACCACCTCCTAGAAAACCCAGCTCCTTGGCCAGTGCTGGCGAAGACCTTCCCTACTTCTACCCCGTCCCTCATGATTGTCCACCCCTGCCCTGGCTCTGGCCCAGGCTCACGTGGGTGCGGGTGGGGCTGTTCCACAGGTCAGCAATCTCACTCAGGTTCTCTGGCAGGTCGTCCTCATGCTCGGCCTGGGCGGCCAGTTCCAGGTTCCGGCAGAAAGGATCCAGCCATACCGGGTTGGCCCTGCAGGTGGGGAGTGGGGTGGGGTGAGGATGGAAGGCTAGAGTGGACAGATGCCCCACCAGCCTCGACCCTCACACCTTCCTGTTTCCCTGGTCAGCTGTAGTGACTTTTCGCAGAACAGGGGTCGGGCGGGGTGAGGGGCCATAAGTAGGTCCCTTGCGCATGGTGCCTATGGGTCTATCGTGCCCCTAGGATCCCACGAGAACCGGGACGAGACGTCAATCTGGATGAACTTTGGTTTGGAAGCCTCCCTCTGCACCCACTAACCAAAGTCAATTCCCCCTCCCTCGAACTTGGGGCCCATCAAGGGTGGGGAACCCAGCTCAGTGAGGGAGAGAGGGGTTGGCTGACCCACCAGGGGGCGCTCACACCCCAGGTTTTAGCTGGTCGTGTTCCCTCACTGCATGGGAGGCATCAGGGAAGTCTCCACCCCACCTGGGTTCGTGGCAGGCCTTCCCACAGTGCACCAGGCAGGGCTCGGGGACCCCACTCACCCGTCAAAGGAATACTTGTTGGTGTTGGGCATGTCCATGATGTCGATGAAGCCACGATTCCCTGCAGGGAGCGGTTGGGGCATGGAGGGGAGGGGGCTGCTCTGCTGGGGCCGGGGAGCCTGGGCCCAGTCCAGGGCCTTGTGAGTTCCCCAGGAGCCCCTCCTGCCCTCTAACCTCCCCACCCATCACAGCCCTCGCTCACCTGCAGAGCCAGCCACTATGGCTTTGAGTTTCCTCTTGTGTCTGGAGAGAAGCAGAGAAGCGCTGGTAAGGGAGGCTGGGGCTGGGCTGGCATCTCAGGGCACTGCCTGCCTCCGTATCTATCCCGGAAGCAGGGCTGGTCAGCCAGTCTCAGGGCAGAGGGCAGGGGTCACTCACACGGTCCTGTAGTACCAGTTCATGAGGATGAAGAGCATGGCAGCCAGGAAGAGGAGGATGGCCAGGACAATGATCGCCATCTAGGGAAACAGGACTAGGCGTGAGCGGGCGGGAGCACCCAGGGTGGAAAGAGGGCTGGGGGCAGGTGCCACCAGGGTACCTGCAGGGCAGACATGTCGTCAGGCAGCTGGACAGAGATGGCGGGCTGCACGTCCATGACATTGTAGTTCCGGAAAAGATTCCGCAGCTGTTCCTTGTTCTCGTCGATCATCTGGATCACCCTGGGCAAGGGGCAGGGGCCTCAGCTCCCATCCTCAGCCATCCCCCAAGAGCTTGCCTCACTCAGGCCAGTCTGCCCTCAAGTTCACCCTCTCCCTCCGCAAGCCTTGAAAAATTAAAGCCCACCCAGCTAGGATAGCTTTGTATTTTATGGGGTTCGCCATTCCTGCACACAGGATGCTGTTTGATTCTCAAAAACAGTATAATACTCCCATTTTACAGATGGAGAGAGTAAGGCTCAGACGCGCAGAGCTTTGCTCACACCCACAAACTCTGTTCTTTCTACTAGCCCTGCCCCACCTCCCGGGGAGAGCGCCACACAGCAAGCATGATGGTGTCGTCTATGCCTCTGTTGGTGGCTCCCCTCCCCAACTCCAGGGCAGGGAGGCAGACCGACATTCTGAACGCAGACCCCCACCCACCGGTCCACGTCCAGGATGCGGTTGGTATCTCGGTTCACCACATGAATGAGC